ACCTCGCCCTCCTTGAACTGTGGAGTTTCCTTCCAAACCTCGCCCTCCTTGAGCTTCTTCCCAAACCTCGCCCTCCTTGAACTGAGGAGCTTCTTCCCAACTGTGGAGCTTCTTTCCAAACCTCGCCCTCCTTGAACTGTCGAGCATCTTCCCAAACCTCGCCCTCCTTGAACTGTGGAGCTTCTTTCCAAACCTCGCCCTCCTTGAACTGTGGCCCTCCTTGAACTGTGGAGCTTCTTCCCAAACCTCGCCGTCCTTGAACTGTGCCGCTTCCCAAACCTCGCCCTCCTTGGACTGCCCGGCGTCTTCCCAAACCTCGCCGTCCTTGAACTGTGCCGCTTCTTCCCAAACCTCGCCCTCCTTGAACTGAGCCGCTTCCTTCCACTGGTCGGCCTCTTCCCAAACCTCGCCCTCCTTGGACTGGCCAGCCTCTCCCCAAACCTCCTCGTGCTTGGTCTGGTCGGCCTCTTCCCAAACCTCCTCGTCCTTGGTCTGGCCAGCCTCTTCCCATCTCTTCTGCTGCTCCGGCTGGCTATCCTCCTCCATCTCAGCGGGCTTGGCCCAAGCCTGCTCACAGGCAGGGAGGCCATAACTCGGCTGCCAGCTTGTCTCAGCTGGGATCATTGTCCCCCTTCCATCCTCAGCACGCAACGCTTCCGCGTCGGCCCATGCTCCTCGAACGCTTCTCCCTCCGCCTCCTCCTCCTCTTCCTCTTCCTGCTCCCAAAGGTCATCCTCAGGAGCGGCCAAATCTTCACCATCCTCCTCCCACTCAGCAACTTCTGCGTTTGGGACACACACCTTCGGATCCTCATGTTCGGGCCAAGTGTCCTGGCACTCTTTCTCATCTCCATCAGCACCATCCTCCTCCATTTCCTGCCAAGGAGCGGGGTCTTTCCTCCAGGAATTACCATCCCACCAGTGGAAGTCGGTGGCAGCCTTAAAAATGGGGAGCAAACAGTTTCATTCATGTACTGAAAACTATAAACTTTAAAGAATCGAGTCGCAGAATTCTGGCTCCCGTCAACATTCCACTCATTGGAATAATCTTCCTGTTCAGCATCATCCTTGGCTACAGACGCGCGATACAGATGGCAAAAAACATTCCGACAACAAACATGCAGCAGGAACTCCAAATAAGGTCGAAGTCCAAGCAACTTTCCAAGACGACCCTTTCGGCCTTCAACAAACCCGACCTGCCAAGAACCCTTTCCTCCAGAGGTCCCAGGCGGTGACCCCCACGAGCACGGGGGCTTATCCAAGCTTTAGGGGATCACAAACACACGAACCCACTCCTTCAAGGATCACAGGTCATCCTCTCAGCCCATCAGCCAAGGGGAAGACTCGGGGTCTGGGAGGGTCTTCCATGTCTCCTCACTTTTCCCCACGACCGAGCCTCGAACTGGCAACATGGCGCAGCACTACAGGAAGACAGGTGCCTCCTTTAGCGAAGCATTGGGGGCTTCCCCCGGTGGGGCTGTTACAGCCGATCGTCTCATTCACGCGATCGACGGCCTTAGGAAGGCTCAGGACGAGGATAAGACTGGATCAAAAGGTGTGGTCTCCGTCCTAAAGGAGCCGGACGTGTTCCTGGCACGGGGCTGTGGCGAGACCAAGGTCGAGCTCTGCCCGGGAGTGTGTGGCAAGGAGTTGTTCCACGGCATCAAGCGAGCCGGCCACCACGCCAAGCATATGCTCCAGCTCATTCGATGGCCCGTGCTTATCAACAACAGACTGGCTCTGGCAATCGCGGGCCTTTGGTGGGGCGGCGAAGAGTCGTATACTCTCCTGGCGTCAGACTATGCCACTGCTAAGGCCGAGCAAGTGGAGGCTTGGACACCGCCGACAGAGCATAAGCTCGAATCCCGAGCCCGCGCCCCAGCGGCTTTCCTCACATGGCTCAGATATGCGGAGAACGCCGTCAAGGTCTTCGGCTCCGCCTACGGCTTGGAGCATGTGTCAGAGCGGATGGCCTTCCTCTCCGCGCTCCGCGAAGCGAATGAAGAGGACGAGAACGCGTTTCCGGTCGGGTATTGCATAAAGCTGTATGAGGAGCTCAACGCAGTTTGGTGCGAGCAAATCCGCGAGTCCCGCAGGAAGTTGCGCGCGAAATTGTGCACGGAGAACCCGCGTCTGGAGGACCTCAAGCTTGTCGCCTTGTCTCCAGGACCCGATGGGGCGCCCGCCTTCCAGTTCCCCCGCGCGTGGGATCTTCAAGATCCACAAGGGTACTACCAGCAAGTCATCTTGCCTGGGCAGCAACGGGCGATGACCAGGGTTTGGAACAGGCAACTGCACGAACAGAACAAGACCGCCGGCACTGCCTGGGTGTACTTTTGATCGTGCTTAGTGCGGTCGTGGTTCGAAGGGGCTTCTGGCCGTGAAAGGGCGGTATGCCCGTGAAAGTGCTCATGATCACAAAAAGGGCAAGGTGTGAAGCAAGATTGCCTGGCCTGGTGTATTTGTGAATCCTGCCGGGCCTGCTCTGCTCTTCTGTGTCCAGCTCTTCGTCATGGTTGTCTGGCCTGAGCAGAACAGATTCAGCCTTAAGCCGCCTTGCTTGCCAGCTAAATGATGTGAAGCTGTTCAAGGATGTTTCAACCACGAAGAAGTTCCCAAAG